TTTTTTAACCTTAATCATCTCAATATCCGCTTCCGCTAGATCATAACTTTGTATATACATATCTTTTTTATTTAGAAAATATTTCCAAAAACTACATTTGATATTATTATAGTATTCTCCAATTTCATATACTTGAGATTTACTATATAAATAAAAGGAAATTTAATTAAGTCTAATAATTTTTGTTCAACTCTTTCCACTTACCCTACTTTTATCAGCCTAGAGAGTAATATCCACCAACTTCAAATAGTTGTTGTCATTTCCAATATGGAGTCCATTAACCAATCTTTTGCATTTGCTGATTATAGTTTCCATACCATTGAATATTTTTTATTTATTCTAAATTTGGGAGCACTTGAGGGTTATAAGGTAAAATCTTTTCTAAATAAATTGGTTTCATTATTTTACATTCTTAGGATTAATCTATTAAAAAAATATATAATCTCGTTTTCTTTTGTTAATAATTTGAAATTTCATTTTCACCAATCTCTATTCATTCTCATCCCAATCAAGGTATTCAAATTCTTATGTACCATAATAGTATTATTCGGTCAGTTGATCTTATGGAAATCTCTCTTCATACGTTAGTTAATTGAGAACTGATGATTCTTGATGATTTCTATTTGAAATCATAATAAAAATTAATTCTTATGATACTCGAAAAAAGCATAATTATAATTTGAAATATTATATTTAAAGTGGTAATCTTAGTTTGGATAATGTAAGATAAATGCCACTTTTTATATCTTATAAAACAATTTGAATAAATCCATTATTCAAAGTAAAGGATTAATGATACATTTTCATTAAATTAATTAAAAATCAATATTATAATAAGTTTAGATTAATCTAAATTTACTATAATATTTGAATAATTTAATTATATGATAATCTTGGTGAATTATTTCAATATTAAATATATGAAGTCTTCTTCTTAATCATATTTCTTAAAATTACCTCACTTAAATTTCAGATTAATTTTGATGCAAAGTAATCAAATATTGTCCATCAAGACTAAGAATCGCCTTCAAAAAACCAGGTTGGAAATCGATTTGTAATTCTTTCTCAATTTCAAAATTTTCTTTTTTTTTAAATGATTACTTTTTATTGCCTTTTATTCTAAAACAGCTTAGAAAAAGAGTTCCCTAAAGAATGAGTATATTTCTATCTTGAAAATAAAAAGGATTTATGCCATAATATTAGTATCCCAAAGAAACTAAAAAATTAGCTTTCCTGGTGTAATTATTTACAGAATTAAGTCTATATAAATATAATTATTTTCCATCATAAGGAAGAAATACAAAGTTCTTATCATTAAGAAACTATAGTTAACGACCCCACATTTCGGTTTTTATTTTTTAAATCACTACCCACATTTATGTAGTTGATGATTTTTGGATGACCATAATATTTTAATTAGTGCTACATGAGATTAACTTATTTCCTTATTCATTAATAGACAAAGTGGCAATAGTTGTATTGAAATCCTTTATCGTTTACTAACAGTGCCATTATAAATCAGATATATTTCTTATTTATTCTTCTTAATTTGATTTATATGGAGTCCAAAATTTAATTTATGAGTCTTCGCCTCCTGAGATTATAAGGGTGTTCTAAACATTAAATATAATGCAACTAACTCCTTTGATATGCCCTGATAATTTTTAAATAAACTTAGCTTTTGAAATTAGTTATTTGGACCAAATGAGAATTGAAGAATATTTTGAACCTGTAACAAACTAATCTTATTGTTTGGGAAAAAAACTTAAAGCTGAAGTTCTATTATTATTAAGTAATTAGATATGTTTTAAGCCCATTTTGTTATTAAATTAAAAAACTCTAATTGTTAATTCTTCTGAAAATAAAAAAATTGAATTTGATCCATTTATCGCCATGCATATTTACCATCTATTTCTTTATGGAATGGGATTCTAACAAATAATTGAGTATTTGAATGGTTTTTAAGGTTATTAGGGCTCATTTTGTTGCATAATTTGATCACTTGCTATAAATAAGCAAATAATATTAATTTAATTCTAAAGAATGCAAATTTATATTAAGATTATAAGAAAAGTTGTAAGAATTAATATTAAAATTCTTTTAAATAATTACAGCCATATTATAAAGTTTATAAATTACAATCTTGAGAGGGTTAACGAGATTAACTAATCTGGTTTATTATAGAAAATTAATTAGTATTAAAAATTACAATATACTAACTTATTTACATAAATTTTAAGAATTGTTGTGGATACAAAATAGTAATCAATATACAAGATATATATATTTTTAAGCAATTTTTAAATCAAAAATCTATAAATATATCACAAGTTTGTTTCTAAAAATTAAGATACAGATTTATTTATTTATATTGGTATACTGGTTAAATATATAAAGCTATACTTTATTTTTGTTAGTAAAATTAGTTGGCCAATTTAATTAAACTGATGTACTAACTTAAAAAGTTATAACTGGTTTTAAGAACTCAAAATAACCATATAAATTTTTAAAGGTTCGATATTGTTCGCAGAATTGATATTATGTGTAAATACAATCCTCAGACTGTTATTTTTATTCTTATACCACACCTCACTCATTATTTCTAAAATTAAGATACCAGATTTGTTATTTAGTTTTTATAAAGTTGATCATAAATTTATATATCATGATATATCTATAAAAAAATTAAGTGTTTTAATATATATAATTAACATTATACTTCTAATTTCCAGGTTCTGAATCCATTCTTAAAGGAAACAATCTGAATTTATACAGATTGTAACTGAAAAATAAACGAAAAAAGTTTCAAATTTATTTTCAATAATCATTATAGATTGATATTTAACATATTAATAAATATACTATAATGTTATACTTTTTCCCAAAATAAAATTGTCAAATTAATTAAAGTAGTAGAAAAAAAATAGTTTAAATGTGAATTACTTAAGTTCTTCCTACAAAATTTAATTAGTTTATTAATTCTTAATCTCTTCTAAATTTGAAGCTAAAATATTAGATGTCATAAGCGATTATTGGGATGGATTTTTTGTTAACGAAAGATTGAATATATCAATAGGATTGGATCTTAGAATTAAATTTAAATAATCTTAAATACATTCAAATAATTACTTTTAATTTTTGTCATTCTTTTTCATATTATCCACTACCTTAAACCAATTCTGTTTTTGATTTTAAATACTATTCTTTTCGGTTATTGTAAATAAAAATATGAATATGTGCTGATCCCTATAATTGAGGAGCTGTTTCTATAGGTTAAAATGTAAAAACATGATTATTTATAAAACATAATCTATATCCCCATTAATCTACTGATATTCTTTATCTAATATTCCATTATGTTTTATTAGAGCCTTCCATCACTAATATTTAAAAATCACTAGCACAAGAGAGCAATTTAGTACCTTCTTGATTAATTGATAATCCAAAAATTGTAGATGTATGTTCTTCAATAGTCTATAAACATGTCCATGATAAAGAAGGTTAAGTTGATGGAGGAGACCAAAATTTTATCTTCTTATCTTAAGACCCACTAATAATAAGATCTTCTGATGAAGTTAGTAAAACTAAACATGTGATACTATTTGTATGTTCTTTTAGTATACATTATACTTCCCACTTAGATGGTATTGTAAATTCGAATGAATTAAGGGGTGACCAAATAATAATAGTATTATCATCTGAACCTGAGATAAATGAATTTCTCATTGATGGAGTTTTTTTGAAAAACATAAGAGAAGACACAAAATCCGAATGTTTACCTTTAAGTATTTCAATTTATCTAATAGATTATGTTGTTCTTGTAGCTGGATAGGCTTCTTATTATGAAAGAAGTGGTAAAATGATCTAAATGACTTTGATATTTGATTCAGCTGCAGCAATAATCAAAGTATTGTCATGATTGATAGCTATTGCTCTGCATAATTCTAAGTATCTATTAGGGTATAGTTCACGATAGAAGTATTTATTAAATCTACAGACTTGATTTTATTTCATAAAATTAATATAACAGGATGAATTTGATAACTCAAATATATGATAAAAAATATTTAAATTTAGATAGAAATTATCATTTCTTTTTAGTAGATGATAATTTTAGAACTAGATTTTATCTTCATAGATGAAAATAGTACTTTTTATTTTGGACTCTAATTAGTTTTATTTAATATAAATTTTATTATAATGTAAACATTTGTTTCTTAATAAGATAACTATCTTATTTAATTTGCTAGTATTCTATTTAAATTTCCTCTATAAAAATTCTTAGAAAAAATTTTTATAAAAATTGATTATATAAATAAAATCTAATTATTGTTGTTTCAAATGACTGTTTACATGCTTTCAATACATATTTTAATTCCATTTTAGTATTCAACAAGTATTAGTTTCTTTTATCTATTTTTATCCAATTCAATCCACTTCAGATGTTTTAATCCATCTTAATTATATTAACCACCACCTCTATTTATGTTAAATTAAATTACATTCTGTTTATAAATGAATTATGATGCTTCATCATATCCCATTTTCCTTATTTTAAATCTTTGTAAAATTCTCCTTCATATAATATTTGATTATGATAATTATAATTTTCATCTAAGTCAATCCATTTTCCATTTTTTTCTCCATTTTAGTAATTACCGCCAGCTCTAATATACTATTAAATAAAATAAGACATTATGTAAAATGTATCTTTAGGCCAAAAGTAATATGTGAGAACATCATGCTCATAGTATTTAATAGTCTTTATATCCCATCTCCCTTATTTAATTCCATGATCATATTATCCAATATCTAAGACTTTACAATTACTAAAATACTGATTTTTTATACTGATTAAAATTATCATGTAAAGAAATCCATNTGTATAAGATGACTTATTTATACTTCAAAAAATATTGAAAAATAGAAAACAAAATTATTGATCATTCTATCATAAAAAGAGTAAATATTCAAGTTTCTTATTGTCCTCCTTATACTAAGATTTAGATATTATTTTATTTTTAATCCCATGTTACTAAGAATTCTCCATTATCACTAATTGTGCCATAAGTATTCATTGTACCAAAGTTGATTGCTTATTCTAAATTACATTCCAAATCAGATTTAGAGGATGAGAATTTGAATCTAATAAAGTTTAAATAATGACCATTTTTAGATAATAAAAGGTTGATCGAATTAATGTATAATTAAGGAAAATAAGGTCTGCAGGGTTACCCACCACCTTAAACCAATACTGTTTTTGATTTTAAATACTATTCTTTTTGAGTATTGTAAATATAAATATGAATATGAGCTGATCCCTATAATTGAGGAGCTGTTTCTATAGGTTAAAATGTAAAAACATGATTATTTATAAAACATAATCGATATCTCCATAGATCTACTGATATTCTTTATCTAATATTTCATTATGTTTTATTAGAACCTTCCATCACTAATATTCAAAAATGACTAGCACAAGAAAGTAATCTATTACCTTCTTGATTAATTGATAATCCAAAAATTTTAACTCTCTGTTCTTCAATAGTCTATGAACATTTCCATGGTAAAGAAAGCTTTGTTGATGAAAGAGACCAAAATTTTATCTTCCTATCATAAGATCCACTAAAAATGAGGTCTCTGATGGAGTAAGTATATGTAAACATAGGATAAAATTTGTATGTTCTTTTAGTATACATTAGTCTTTCTGATTAGTTGGTATTGTAAATTCGAATGAATTAAGAGGCGACCAAATAATCATCGTATTACCATCTAAACCCGAGTTAAATGAATTTCTCATTTATGGATTTTTTTGAAAAACATTAAAGAAGATACAAAATCTTAATGTTTACCTTTAAGTATTTCAATTTATCTAAAGATGCTTTTGTACTTGTAGTTGTAAAGTTTCTGATTATGAAAGAAGTGGTAGAATGATCTAGATGACTTTTATGTTTTATTCAGCTGCAGCAATAATCAGAGTTTTGTTATGATTGATAGCTATTGCTCTGCATAATTTTAAGTATCTATTAGTGTATAGTTCGATAGAAGTACTTATTAAATCTTCAGACTTGATTTTATTTCATAAACTATTAATGTAAGAAGATGAATTTGATGACTCAATTAGATGATAAACAATATTTAAATTTAGATAGAAAATTATCATTTCTATTTAGTTTATGACAACGCCACAACTTGTATTTATCGTCTTAAATGAAAAATGAAGAAACATGTATATAATTAATTTATATAAATTATATTTTAAGATTGCACTAA